AAAACAACAGCTTTTACTGTCTTGAGATCATTGATATTCTCCAGTGTGGTTTCCCCACTGGGCACCTGTGATGGGAGTGGCTGTCCCTGGGACATGTAGTGTGATGGCCCCATTCCCTCCCATCTGCCTCAGCCTCAGATCCTTACTATCCATCCCTCACAAAGTGAGAGGCATCTCTCCTCTTCATGGAAGAAGACCTGTGGCCATTCACCCCAAGGCGGGTCCCCATAACCTTCACCAAAACCCATACCCCACCCTTTAACCATTCTCCTTACTTACAGCTTCTCCCCACCTCAGTCTGTCCCATACCTTGTGGCGAGGTCAGCTTTATTAACTCAACTTGGATAATCACTTGGCTCAGAAACCAACGGCTGCTTGTTATTGACCTTTTGATGTTCAGTTCTTGTCCCTTCACGATCCAGTTCCAGCCTACCACCCAACCTGCTTCTCTTCATAAATTCTAGGTTCATCCACCCAGAACCTTGCTAATCCCCACATAGAACCCATGGTTTCTCATCTCTCTGCCTTTGCTCTTCATTTCTTTCCATCCAACCCTCATTCATCCCAATCTCAATACCAAGATTCAGTCCAGTGTTCAAACTTCATCTCAAGAGCCACTCCCCCCTGGAGGCTCTGCTGATCTCTCCAGAAGGATGTGATTGTCCCTTTAAGCCCTTGAGATATGGATGTCTGCCTCTCTTGTTCTCTCCCCTCTCTTACACAGGTTCTAACTCATTCCCAGGGCCACCCGAGACAGTCTGTAAGATTGTATATGCCTTGCCCCAACCCAGAAATCCTGACTCAGTAGCTGGAATGGAGCTCACTTATTTGTGAGTTTGATACAGATGCTGATGTAGAGCTGGGACTGAGAACCACTGCCTTATTCTGAATTTTTCCTCCCTGAGAAAACAAAGGGGGTTACTATGAAGGATACGTGGAAAAAACAGTTTGATTCAGATCTCTGAATCTCAGTTTTCTTATCTTTAAAATGGGAATAATAACCCCCACTTCCTTGGGTTGTCATGAAGCTTGAAGGGTATAACAGATAGTGAACAGCTGAGACAGAGCCCCGCACAGTGCAGACACTCAGTGCAAGCTTCCCTCACTTGACACTAGGCTGCCGGCTTAGCACAGCACAGTGTTTAATACATGATGGTTTGTGTGATTTTAACTTAACCATTTATACTCTGGCAAAAGGTGTGTAAGTTACACTTATGTTCCCTGGCTACACTGAGTACTGGACACTGAAAGAAGCTGTATGGAAGTTACTTCATCACTTGGTGTCTTAATAGTAAAGCACTTCTCTTTCTGGAAAAAAGTAGCTTTTCAACATTGTTAACTCAACCCACATAGTGGACATAGGAACAAGTATGCTTTTAACCAGCACGTTCATAAGTACACAGACTTGTATATATACTATCTCATCTCATCCTCTTGATGCCATATTGGGGAAATGTTAATGTACCAGTTTTACAGATGTGGAAGTTGAGGATCAAAAGAAATTTGATGATTTGCTGAAAGTTGCATAAGTATGAAGTGGCAGAACTACAATTTGAACCCAGTTAGTACAATTTCAAGTCCAATATTCTTTACCCTTTACCACAACTGATCGCACCAATTATACTATTAACATGATCAAGGGATATAGACATCCATCCTGATTGTCAGAGTTCAAAAACACATGATGCATAGGACTTTGCCTCGGTGTATCAGAATCAAATTAGCCACGCTTCACAGGTACACTTCTGAGCTCAGTGTGTGCTCTTTCCACTGCTGGATCACATTCCCCATCGGCAAACTCTTATTCATCCTTCAAGATGCAGGCACACATGAGCACTTCCAGACAGCTTTCCCTGTTAACAATGCCCAGCCCAGCATCCTGGACCCACTTTTTTTTCTTTTAAACTAAAGAGAAAACAGACTATATCTAAGCAGTTTCATCTCTTTGTGCCTAAAAAGCAAAGCTGAGCTATAAAAATGCAACTTGCTCTCTCTGCTGTAGAACAGCATGTGAGATGACCAGACCAGGATGCTGCCTACAGGGGGTGGCATTAGGGAAGCAGAAAGGTCCCCCATTGTCTTGCATTATCGCTGTCCCAAACTACACTTCCACATCTTCTCACTTGCTCTGAAACTCATATTAGGAAACAAAGACTTCATTTTTTTAATGTTTGCTTTTTTTTTCTTGTAGGAAGTTGACTTAAGAGGCACATTGCCCCTCAGTTCACAGAGTTGTAAATAACTGATAGCCAATCCTTTCCTAGAAGTAGGTTTTCCAAGGCAAGACGGCCTGAGAGTCCTCTGTATATAACACATAATACGGAGATTGTGTGTTATCATGATCTACATGTATAGTAGAGTTAAGTGGGACCAGGTGACATGATTTGAAAAGCATGCCCAAGGGTCTCTGACCAATACGTTCTCCTATGTAGCCACATTGTCTGAAAACCCTCTCTCAGCATCATTTCCCCTGGAAACACAGGACCTCTTGGGCTCCAAGCACCAGAAGGGGTGAGGAGCAGACACCATATGGCACCTGGTGGGCAGGGGTGAAGAAAGGGTTCAGAAATCAGAAACTGGAGATCCTGAAAAAAATGTGACCTTCTCCACCACTGCCCTGGGGCTGGCCCTCTTGTCAGGAATCCAAACCCAGCGACTCCGTGTTTTAACATGACACTTACTGAAATGCCAGAGAACTGAGTTCTCTAAAGTTTTGGATTCTTATCTAAACCATTTATCATTATGTTCAGAAAAACTACACTCATAAGCCTTGTAAACAAGCCACTGCGTCAAAGTAACTCAACATAGGGTAGACCAACGTACAGCATTCCCATTCAGTGAGAAAAGATGTTTTCACTAAAGCGCTAATGTGGAGGAAGCCACATTATAACTTCCTCATGATGTTGTGCACGTGGGGAAGGTTAGCGTGATCTAACCATAGAACATATTGAACAACTTGTGGGGAAGTTCATCACACGCGTCATTTTTTGCAGAAACAGATCACCATGTCTCTTCACACCCACATGGTATTTCTCCTTCCACATTCAGGTCATATTCCATGTCCATCATGTAGCCTTCCTTAATTCCACCTATCCCCACCATTGCTCTTTCCTCCAGATTACCACAGCATTTCATCTGACCTGCTATTGACTTATCTCCAATAATGTAGTACTCATCACAGCACCTGGCATGTGGTGGGTGGCAGGAAATATTGAGTGAGTGCAGGTATCTACATCATGAACATCTATCTGCTGTCCAGATATGTTCTAACCCAAGACACATTTCTTTGGACTGTTTACAAAGTTCCTAAGAAACATCAGGAGGGAACTGAGTCACACACCCTTGCATTTCAAACAAAGAAGCTATTTACATACTAACACATTATGCATCATACATGTTGATATATACGTTTGTACACAAAAATGTCTGCCCTTGCAGAGTATATGTGAATAAATAAATACGGAGATTGTGTGTTATCATGATCTACATGTATAGTAGAGTTAAGATAAGTGGGACCAGGTGACATGATTTAAAAAGCATGCCCAAGGGTCTCTGACCAATACATCTTCCTATGTAGCCACATTGCCTGAAAACCCTCTCTCAGCATCATTTCCCCTGGAAACACAGGACCTCTCATTCTCCCCCATCTTCTTCTTGAAGACAAGCCAAGGTCTCCCAGTTGTTGCAAGCATAGAGCTACGGCTCCATTATGAGCCGGCTGGGCACCCAAGTAGAATAAAGACTATAAAGTGGAGCCTGACCTAGGAGCTACAAGCCTGGTCTCACTGACATACCACCTGCAACTGAATCCTGGTTCCTCCTCAAACTCTCAAACTGAGCTGTGACTTGTACAAATGGTCTCACTTCTTTGCATTTGATTTTATCTGAAAAATGCAGGAAACAATAGCCTCTACCCCCCAAGGCCATATAAGGAGATAATATATATACAGTATGTATAGCGGGTATATGATATTCAACAAACACTTGTTATTATCATCAGTATTGCTTTTTTGGTATTTCCTGTTGAAAATCCAGCTTGCAGACTGGGGATTTTCTAACACACTGATGCCAAAACCACATCCCCAGGATTCCCATGCAAACCCTGCTTTGAGCCAACACACTGGGCACAGTCCCCTTGCACACAGCAAGGGTGGGTGTCTTGCCAATGGGTTTTAGCCCCGGGCAGGTTTGCTATGGATTCAATGTGACCAAAGAAAATGACAGCAAAATTTTCTTGGGGTGAAAGGGTTATACCCAACTTTATTTCCAGGTGGCAGGTCAGTCACTAAAATCCGTTCACTCAGAGTGAGTCTGCAGGCAGCAAGCCGGTCTCTGCCTCTGGGCCCTTCTGTCTGCACAGCTGTCCCGCACAGCCATCCTCTGGGCCTCTGTCCTCGGTGCTGCCACCACTCCAGCCTCTGCTCTGCTCTCCTGCAGCCTTGCAGCCGTGCCTCCATGTCATGCCCAGAGCACTGGGTGGAACTCTTTTATAGAATCAACAGCCATGTATTGCCCACAGGTGTGCAGTGAACTAGTCAACCATGGCCAGGTGAGAATCCTGGCCACAGGAACTCTCATTTTATCCACAGTGGGTAAGGACAGAGACTCTCGGATTGGGTTATTGGGTCCTAAGACACCTATTGCTAACCTAACAACATACTCCTGCATGAAATAACACAGCCTCAGCATCTTACAGACCCAGAAAATGCAAACCCACAGAGAACTGCTCTTCATTAACTTCAGGATTGAGTCTCCTGTTCCTTTTCCTTGACCAGATAAATTTGCAAAATTAAATATCTAATCAAAAACCCCAAAAGCAAAGAGTAGCATGTTGTATTTTTTCTCTGTTGAAAGAGTCCCCCATTTTGGGGCACTAAATCACATTAGAACATTGCAAAAGTGTAAGTGTAATTAACCTGCATTGCTTCATATTCCTGGTGTAGCAATTGCTTAGGACACTGCTTTATAAGGGACCAGAAGAGAGCTGTGAATGACACATGATACTGTGAACCCAGAGGGGCAGAAAAGCAAGGAGAGGTAGTGTTTGGTGAAAGAACCATGTTCAGTCTGAAGATGCTTCCACTTCTGCTCTTATTCTGCATGCAGCTCTCCAGGGCCTTTCCAGTGCCTTCTGAATCCACAGAAGAGAAAAATATAGAAGTTGTTCAGGTAAATTGGCTATCAGGTGGGTGGTTGATTTGCTGGTTACTAGGAACAAGTGTGAGTCATTTCCTTTTTTTAGTTAAAACAACCAGAAAGAAATTTTTTGGGTTATTTGTTTGAGCTTGAACACCTCATTTCAGTCATTTGAAGGGTTCCAAGCTGGGTCCTCTAAAAGGCAGACATGAAAACAAGATGGGCTCTTCAAACCTGGGGAAAATACTGCTGCTGAGCTGCCTCCAACTGGGGAACCCTTTTAGAAGGAATGATTTTGTTTACAAAACTAAAGGATTTTCTATCTCACTTAGATAAGATTTTTCCTTCCAGGATATCTGTAACCCAGTTACTGCGTGTCTGATACTTTTTATCTGGACTTGTCTTGGCAGCCCAAAATGCCAAGTGTACAAGCTACCACAAGGATGGGAAATTATAAGGAATTAGAAATCAGTTTCTAGGGTCATCAGGTTTCCTAACACCAGCTTATGAACTCTTGGAAGCATTATAAAAGCGGAACCAATCTTTTTTCCATTGTTTCACAGTATGAAAGGCCAAATTTTTTAAGAAACACAAGGGAATGCTGTCACAAGGAGGTCACACCCAATTCTCTTAGCATTACATTTTTAGAAACACACTTTATTCTTTCTTTTTTGAAAAATGTCTCTTAAAATAGTAATATTAACCTCTGGCTAATAGCTAGAGATCACTGAGGGCTTCCTCTACCAGGCATCTGCTGAGCATTTCACAAACATTTTCTCATGTCCTCCTCATGGGATCCCTGTGAGGCGATATTATTTTTTCCACTTTAGAGACTAAAGTGAATCTTAAGACAGTTCAGTGGTGTGTCTAAGAACTCAGAGTTCATACATGCCGACCTAACATGTGAACCCAAGCCTGTCTGTTGCTAAAGCCAGTGAGAGCACAGAAGGGCTCTCTTACATCCTTTGCGAAGTGCCAGGTGTTCGGAGGCTGCTTAAGGTGAGAGAAAGAAGCCTTATGATTGGCTTAACACCCCTTAGAACCTTTACATGCAAATGGGTGCTGGCTCCTTGCAGAAGAGTTACTGGGGTGGATAAAATGCAAATATCAAAGATGCTGCCGTTTCCCCAAGATGTATTTGGAGTTCTTTTGAAATCATCGATTCTGTTTGAGAAGCAACGTGGTGAGTTGAGACCTGAATTGTCATCTTGACAAGTTCCTCCCTTCCCTGTGCCTCCATTCCTTAATAAAGATGACTAAACCTTCTCTACAGTAGTGAGAAAAGGAATAAAAGAGAAAATCTGTATTGGTACTACTAATACTTCAAGAAGTCAAGAAATACTACTGCCGGTTTCTGTTTTGGGGTTTGTTTGTTTGTTTGTCTTTAATAAAAGAAGAAAGCAATCTCCTGACTCGGTACGAGCATTCTGCATGGGGACTCAGACCTCATCCTTAGGAAATGCTTGTATTTATGCACAGGCATCTCAAAGTCAGCCTACTCCTTTGAGTGTTTGTTCCTTGTGACCATCAGGTTATTAGACTGCTGTAAGTCTGCAGTAACTTAGAAAAGAATACAAAACGCCCAGAGAACCAAAGGTAATTTCACAGCAAGTCCCCTTATCTGTTTCTTTGTCCAGAATTACCTGGAGAAGTTCTACCAATTACCAAGGAACAGATACCAGTCTGAAAGGAAGAAGAGCACCAGTGCAATTGTTGAAAAGCTTAAGGAAATGCAGCAATTCTTTGGGTTGAAGGTGACAGGCAAGCCAGATAAGGAAACTCTGGAGATGATGGAAAAGCCTCGCTGTGGAGTGCCTGATGGTGGGGATTTTATGTTAACTCCAGGACACCCCAAGTGGGAACAAACTAACCTGACCTACAGGTAATATTCCTAGAGTTTCAGAATTCATCCCTTCAGGAATGTGTATTGCGTCCTTTGATGTGCCAGGCACTGTTCTAGGACTTAAGATATGCTGAAGGCAAATAAGCATCCCTGCCCTTGCAGAGTTGAGGCTAGTGAATGAGGATGAGATGAAAGGGAAAGCTACTACCAGCTCTTTTCATTCCAAAGTCTGCCATTTTTGTCTCCCATCTCCAACAATCTGAGAGACTCTGGCAATGTTAGACTGTCTCTGTAAGAACTCATCTTAGGATCCAAAAAAAGGCTTTGTCATTGTTGGAGAGAATCTACCCCCACATTTCATGCATTCTGATAATAATAATGATGCTACACAGTATTTGTTGAATACGACTATTTACCAAGTAGTGAACTGGTTTAATCCCCACAACAACCATATCATCAGGGTACTACTATTCTGTTGTCCTCATTTTACAAATGAAGAAACTGAGTTTAAAGACATGTAATAACTGGTCCAGAGCCCGTGTCTGTCTTCCGCCCTGAGTCTGGCGATCTCTCCTTATAGTAGTCGCACCTCACATACGCAGTTTACTTCCAAATGGAGAAACTCTGTCTGTGGATGGACTGCTGTTGTAACCAGTAATGAACCCTCCACACATCTTCTCGTGTTGAAGGATTACTGACTATACCTCACAACTGCCAAAGGCTGATGTGGAAACACTTATTGAGGAAGCCTTTAAAGTCTGGAGCCGTGTGTCACCCCTGACCTTCACCAAGCTCACAAAAGGAGAAGCAGACATCACCATTGCTTTTGTCCAAGGAGGTAGGCCTGAAGCAGTCATGCTCAATCTTGCTTTCCCTGGACAAACTGAGACTCGGCAGGGGCTTACTATGCAATGTTGTATTTCAGATCATGGTGACAATTCTCCTTTCGATGGACCCAATGGGATTCTTGCTCACGCCTTTCAGCCAGGCCCAGGTATTGGTGGAGATGCTCATTTTGATGCAGAGGAAACATGGACCACAACCTCAGAAAGTAAGTTAACCAAGGTTTTGCAACATGCAGCTTTGAAATAAACTTTTGCCACATTAGAATCCCTACCACCACACACAAGCATCCAAATTATTGTTAACATGTCAAATTCTCACAAAATGATCATTTAAAAATTCTGCTACTCAGTATACTAAGTCAATTTAGGTTTAAAAAAAAAATTCTGAAGCTAATTACTGACCTTGTAGAAAGTTGCAGACCATGGCTAACTCCTGCCTGGCCCTGTTTGTACAGATAAAGTATATACTTTATGGAACTAGGCTGCACTTACGTATCATCGATGGCTGTTTTCTCATCACAACAGCAGAGTTGAGTCGTTGTGACTCACAAAACCTGAAATATTTATAGGACCTTTACAGAAAAGTTGCTGACTCCTGCTTCAGTTATCTTTCTTTTAATATTCTGAAACTTAATGATGTTTGGAAAATGTCCCTATTTTTAGAAATCATAAACAATCGAGTTAATTTAGAAAACTGCCCCACTTTAAAAAGAGCAGCCATCTTTTTTTTATCTAGTATTTCAACTCGATGGAGCTCTTTTTCAATGGTATATTCCTACATAGCAAACTCCCATTTTGGGCAAAAGCTCAGAATAAGTAGAGTTGGGCCACCTGAAGGGAGGAATTGAGGCTAAGTCAGGTATATCTAGACCACTACTTTGCTCTCCCCACTCGTTCAGAAGGTCATTACCTCTCACATGAACTCAATGATCCAGATTCTCCCCTGCACTGTTTACATCCAATCTTCCTCCCTCTAATTTTTCCCAAACTGCAGCAAGGTTTGTCTTTGGAAAGCCCATCTTGGATTACAGTACTCTCCTGCTTAGAACTTCCAGTGTTTACATCTTCTGGATCAAACAATGTCCAAATACCTTTACTTGGCATTGAAGGTTCTTGGTCATTTTCCAACATCATATCTCATGGCTTGTGTTCATATTTCACATAGGGCAGCTGCACGGCACTTGCACCATTCCTAGATCACACCAGGTGCTGTCCGACTTCCCTACATTTGCTCACATAGCTTTCTTTTCTTCAAGTGCCCTTCCCCCACCACAACCTTTCAAAATCTCTCTTTTCATGCTGTGTCAAATGTCACCCTGTCTTGTCACTCAGCTGGAAATGAGGACTTCCTCGTAAGAATCCTAACAACCTTTGTTTCTCCTTCTCTTAATTGCTCTCCTCATTATTCTGTGCATCAAGTTATTTGCATACACATCCTCTTCTAGACTATACATAATGACAAATCCCCAGAGCCCTTTGCACAATACTCCACGCACTCAAAGCTGTTTCTTGAAATGCATTCATGAATGCAAAATTGGAAGGATGTGATAATCAAGAAAGCAAGTCGTGGAGCATGGATAGAGTTTTACTAGGATAGTTATCAACAGGAAGTTGAATATTACGGTAGGAGCACAGGTCCTGCCATCACACCGCGTTTTGACACCAGCTGTACCACTTACTAGGTGCAAGACCAGTAACAAGGTATTCAAAATCTGTGGGCATCAGTTCCTTTACTGTATAAATATTTCTGACAATAATTCATAAAGATATAGTGAGGATTTAATAGCATTACACTTCCCAGCATCTAGAAAGTACTTTACAACTGAGATTATTTTTTTCAAGAAGGCATATAAGGAAATGCAGTGTGTTTGAGGTGGCACATAGACTGGCTGGTGTGAAGGATTCACATCAGAAATCAAAACCTCAATCCTGGACTTGGCCAAGAAGCATGGGACTTATTTGATAGGAAGTGCGAGCCTTGGAAGTTTTGTTTTTTTTTCAATTCAACCTGCTTTATTAACTTCCTAATGCTGCTGGGACAATGGACCTAGAAAACTGGATGCCTGGTAATTTTTTTTTTTGAGAGGGCATCTCTTATATTTATTGATCAAATGGTTGTTAACAATAAAATTCGGTATAGGGGACTCAATGCACAATCATTAATCAACCCCAGAGCCTTGAAAGTTTTTAAGTTCACATTTGTGAAAGGCATTAAGCTCATGGAAGTTAACAAATGAGGAAAGGGAGCAATAAGAGGCAGGGTTTGACTCTTTCTGGTGGAGAATTCCTGAAGCTCCTTGGAGAGTCCAGAATCAGGGAAACATTGGTGCTAGACCATGGTGATTATGGAGCCCAGCAAGTCAGCTCTGCATCAAGGGTACAGCAGACTCATTTTCTAACTAGTCTAATTGTTCATTGAGATTCTACTAATGGGGCCAGGGGCTTGGGAGGCTGGGGAGGGGTGGGTGTGGCCACAAAAGAGGAGAAGGCTTCTGAGGGTCATGAGAACTGTGATGGCTCTGCCATCATTTCTTTAAACTTCAGGTCCACATCCATGAAATATGGGAATCAAAATAAAGGCAGTTTTTCTTGATTCCAAGATTTTATGAGAAGCTCAAACTCACCAAATCTCAACCTATAGCCCCTACCTTGATTCCTTCCAATTTCCATTTCTTTGGAGGGAAAGTAAAAAAGACAGGCATGGAAAGGCTGTTTCTCCAGGCAGGTTTTTCCCGGAAGCTGCGTTCCTTGGGACCTCATTTCCACCACCCTTGGATCTGCATGGAGCCATTCACCACACATGCTTGCATTCCAGATTACCACTTGTTTCCTGTCGCTGCCCATGAGTTTGGCCATTCCTTGGGGCTCTCTCACTCCTCTGACCCTGGTGCCTTGATGTATCCCACCTACGCTTACAGTGACCCCAAAACCTTCTTACTCCCTCAAGATGACATCAACGGCATCCAGGCCCTCTACGGTAAGGTCATCTGAAGGACACTACAGTGCATAATGAGACCTGAGTATGTCAAGAATGTTCATTGCAGCGTTGTCTGTGGTGGTGGAAGTTGGGGGCACCTGGGAGTCTATCAGGGGGAGCACGTACAGGTGACGTGTGGAGGAGGCCCTCCAGAGAGGAACAACCCACTGTGAGAGGCACTGAGTTAGATGCACATATGGCAACAACATAGATAGGTGGGTCTTTAAAACATGTGCCTCATGGAAAAGAACCAGAATGATACCTATTGCATAGTGGATGATTTAAAGTACACAAAATATGAATCTGCATTAATTAAAAATGCAAAAGATAAGGCATTTTCAAGAACCATGCCAACAAAAGATACATATTGAACACATTAAGATTGTTGTCTATGGGGGAAGAAGAGCGATGAGAATGGAATACAGAGAGAAAAAAACATTTTCTAAAGGCATGACTGATACTTCTCAGGAAGGGATAGAGAGGCCTTTGTCCATGTTGTAACGAACACAGTTTGGTAAGACCATGGTGTCTCTCCTCCCTCGTGCCCTCCTGCTCCCTAGTGGCTGTGAGTAGGAACAGGCAACGAGAGAAGGTCTCTAAGGTGCGGAGGGGAGCAGAATGGAACTGAGGAAAGCACTCACCCCTCGCTGGCGGACGGCGTCACAAAACCAAGAGTACCAGCATACCACAGCTAGGGAATTTTTTCTTGACAGTAGGATTTTCAGGAATGAGGAGACCTACTCCTCCGCTCCCCGGTGCCTTTCCCCATGAAAACACCTCCTTCATTGCTCACCTATGTTTTAAATCCTCTTAGTTATCAACATAGCCCTTATTTCTGCAATAAGAAAAAGATAATAAAATGCGAACACTTACAGAAAAAATATCACTAAAATTTGACTCAGATTTGTGCTGTGGGGTAAAAGACTGATCCCAGCTATTTTCCCAAAGGTGGACTTCGGTGAGGAAGGGCGAGGCCTGTACTGAGTGACCAAAACACAGGAGGAGGAACCAGAAAGCGGGAGAGGGTGGGGTTAGGATTTTAACGGGGAGGGCCATAGAATTCAGATTTCCTTACTTCACCCTTTAACCTGAAACTATCCCTGAAAATCACCATTACATTTATTTTTCTTAATAAAATAATAGCTTTAGGAGGGCCAAATGTGCAGTTGTTTTAATGCCTTATCCCACTTAGTAAGTGGGATAGTCTGGCAGCATTTCTCTTCCAGTGAAAACCTGTCACTGTCCTGAGAGGTGTCTGAAGTACACTAAGAGTCACACTAGACTTATACTTATGAAAAGCTCTTTTTTTTTTCAGGACCTTCAAGCAACCCTGTCCAACCAACTGGACCAACCACACCCACAGCCTGTGACCCCAGACTGACCTTTGATGCTATCACCACACTCCGAGGAGAAATATTATTCTTTAAAGACAAGTATAAGATTGAACCCCCCCTCCCCCAATTCCTTTTCCTAGCATAACTTAAAACTAGATTCTAATTAAGTCACATATTACACATGACTCTGCTTTTCCTTTAAATTCTACACATACATCTCATTGGAATTTATAGCATTTTTGTCAACTTAAGTCATCCAGGAGAAGAACAAATCTGAAACATTCATAAACACTCAGATGTTGTGCTGATGTTAACTGGCAGGCTCTAGCTGCTGGGGAACTCCATAGCTGGCTTTACCAGACACCAAAATTTCCTTCAATCCCATCCCAATTCAATGAAGTAAATGGAAACTATCATTTAATATGCTGCAGGACAAATCATCTGGTTGAATTTTTCAGTTTTCCATTGGCTATTTCGTGGTTCCATGAACACAGGCTGAGTGTACTTCTAGTACTTTCACGGGGATATTTTCAATACCCTCATCATTTTGTAGGAACAAAAATGAAAGAGGCTTACACATTGAGACTTGTTGCTGTATGAGGAGGGGACAGTGCAAAATATAACCAAATAAGGTTACTCTTCTGAAAACTTTGAAGCATTCTCCAGATGGATAATAACACCATAAAGCACTGGCCATGTGTTGGTCACTATCCAGAAACTGCATTCATGATACTGTCATAGCCTCCCAGCAATCTTACAAGGGGCCATACCAGACAAGACTCAACAAAGCTGCTTATGCGCCTCTTGTGCATGTGTTTTCTGCCTTGTGTTCAATTAGGTTCTTCTGGAGAAAGCATCCTCAGCTACAGAATGTCGAACTCAATTTTATTTCTCTATTCTGGCCATCCCTGCCAAACGGTATACAGGCTGCTTATGAGGATTTTGACAAGGACCTAATTTTCCTATTTAAAGGTAACTGCCTAAGGTTTTCATCTTATTAAGTTCTTCGCAAAGGGAGGGGAAGGACTTCCTTGCGGTCCCTTTCAGGTTCAGAGGCGGTGAGCCAATCAGCCGGCTGCCCAGCTTCTGTCAATAGACACGGGTTGAGTCCCATCTCTATTATTAGCTTCTGAGTCTCATGTCTGTCACTAACAAGTGTGAACTTGAGCAGGTTGTACCCTCTTCTGACCTTAGTTTTCTCATCCACAAAATGAAAAACCTTTTTAGACAAACTTAAGTGTCTTTCTACTCTCATCCCAGATGTAATTTTCTAAGATTCCTTAAGGCTATAATTTAATTTCTTTATAAAACTAACATAAGGTAAGACATCTCATTGTAGAGCCCTGAATGTCAGGCTAAGAAGTTAAAAAAAATTTTATAGGTGCTGGGGCACCACCAGGGCTATCATTAGTCCAAGAACTTAATCACCTTTATCTTTGGAAGGTTGTTCCATTTTCATAACTTGATGAATTTATGTAAAGACAAAGAAGTGTGGTATACATTATTTTTTAAGAATGGAAGAACTTTATCTAACACCTAACCTGAATCACTGACAGGCAACCAGTACTGGGCTCTGAATGGCTACAACATTCAGCAAGGTTATCCCAAGAATATATCAAACTATGGCTTCCCAAGCAGCGTCCAAGCAATTGATGCAGCTGTTTTCTACAGGACAAAAACATACTTCTTTGTAAACAACCAATTCTGGAGGTAAAGTAGACTATTTTGTCAAATACAGATAGAAATCTATGATTTTTGCCCTATCTGTAAACCATTAATGATCAGGTAGCTGAAGGTTTGAAAAAATCCAGTTGATCTTTGATAAGCACTCTTTTTCTCAAGATGACTCATGTTGCTATGGCTTTTGAAAATTTCATTTTTATAAAATTTAAATGCCTGCACAATGGTATTAAAGATTCATATGATGAAATAAAGTAAACCTTAACATAGCTCCAGGATGAGATGCAAAGAAAGAGGCTAATTCTCATTTACAAGTTAAATTCTAACATGCTCAAGCAAAAGTTATCCTAATAGCCTACAAAATTTGGTGCCCAAGTTTGAGTTATTATTTATATCTATTCAGAGAGAGAGAGAAACTTTTACCATTTAAGTAAAAGTCTTAGAAAATATAAGCTCTTCTTTTTTAAAATAACACTGCACCAGCAATCAAAATCCTATTTTAGTATTAATGATACCCATATATTTTATAAGTAGGTATGTACTCTTAGGTAGAGATAGAGAAGCTAGCCATTCTTAGTCCCAGTAAATAGAACATTGTGAAGACAGAAAATATTTGTGAAGGCACTTTGTAAAGTATACACAATTTAAAGAAAATTATCATTATACACTGTACTTTTCTTAAAACATGGTACATTTTTTTTCTCATCAGCTATGATAATGAGAAACAGTCCATGGAACCAGGTTATCCCAAAAGCATAGAAAGTACCTTTGCAGGAATAGGAAATAGAGTTGATGCAGTTTTCCAGAAGGATCGTAAGTAGAAAAAAACTACTAATTTATTTAAATTTTTTAAATAGCACATTTGCAGTTGAATGTTATATTGGGACAGAAGTGAGGTCTTTTTAATTGGAAACATCTGAAATCTTACTTCTACAAGCTAATTCAATATATTCTCTTTCTTTCTTTGATAGATTTTTTTCTTTTCTTCAGTGAAACAAGATATTATAAGTTTGATCTCAATACTCAGAGCATTACTCAGATTGATCGAAGCAATAAATGGCTTAACTGTAGATAAAGTAGAAGCAAAATCAAATGTGAAGGTATCCGTTTTTTGAATATGGAAGGAAAGTCTAACTTGCATATTTATTACATTGTGTTCTACTTGTACTTTACTTAATAATAAGTAATATTGCTTGCTATTAGTGTACTCCCTGGACCTGTGCTCAGTGTAAATACATTTGGAGTATTCCATTGTTTGCACAGGCTTAGTTCTTATGTATTCCATCTGAGGTTAGTGAATCTATCAAAAGAGAGATTAAGCCCTCTTTTTACTTCAAAATTCACCATTGCATTACTTGCTTATCTGACTTCTAAAATGCTCATTTATTCTTTTAAACATGTTTTAAGTGTGTCTGCTATGTGCAGTTTAGCACTGAATTTTGGTTAGAAGTATGGACTCTGAACAAATAGACAGTATCCCCCATATTGAAAACATGGTGCCATTTTCCAGTCTTGGAAAGAAATATTTTTTAACCATGTTATGGGTTGAATTGTGTCTCACAAGAAAGATGTGATGACGTCCTAACGCCAGGTACCTAAGAATGCACCTTATTTGGAACAGAATCTTTGCATATGTAATTAGTTAAGTTGAGGTGATACTGGATTAGGGTGGGTCTAAGAACTGGTGTCCTTATAAGAAAATGAGAGACATAGACACATAGTGGAGAAGGCATGTGAAGAGAGACAAATATTGGAATGATGCATCTACATGTCAAGGATTGCCAGCAACCACCAGAAGCCAGGAAGAGGCAAGGAAGGATCCTCCCTAGAATCTTCAGTGAAAAGAACATCACCCTCCTTGATTTTGGACTTGTAGCTTGCAGAACTATGAAAGAATAAATTTGTTTTTTTTTAAGCTATCAAGTGTGTGATGCTTTGCTAAGGCAGCGCTAGGAGGCTAATACGGTACATGTGCACTTGAGAAAATGAATTAACACACAATGACAAAGGAGAAACTTCAGTAAGAATGACTGTCATCGTCCTAGGAGAGGAGCCAAAGGGGAGGCACCATTCTCCCCACTCTCCTCCCCGCTGTCTCCTTCTGGAGTCCAAGCAGGCTGGTCGGATCTCTTGTTCCTTTTTTTTTCCCCCTGGGATACTCAGGAGGCACTCTCTACAGAAAAGTCGGGTTTACTACACAAACAGAACAGTGCTGGGCACAAAATTCAATAAATATTCAACTGAATTAAACTGAGCTTAGATGCATAAATTTGGTAACGGCTCCTTTCTGTTAAGAACTTTAAGACTTGTAAGACCATACGGCTAGTTCAGCCATCAAAATCATTATAATGTCATATTTTCAGTTGTTAGAACATATGCAGCTTGTTCTACAATAAATACATGAATTGTAAAATACATGTATCACTAGGATATCCTGTTTTCTTTTTCTGTTGAAGTTTTTAAATCCCACAGATAATTAATTTAGTTATAATTTGGTACTTTATTCTGATTCAAAATTGACTGAGTGGCTTGTGATCTACTATAATTTCTTATTATATTATACTACCATTCTATATATAGTACTAAATTATAATACTATATATAAAAAAGAATAGCAAATTCAATATATTTGCTATTACTTATTCCCTTGTCAGAAGTATTTCAACAGTGACATTAATATTTCAGTTACTGCTTCATAGTTCATGATATATTTTATAAATATTCAATGTCACTTAAAAATTCCCTCAAGTATGCCAGCATATTGTTCTCAATTTATTTTACAAGATGATAAAAAACCTAGGATATATTATCATTCCATCCATTCATTTTTTCCACAAAAATTAATCAGTTACCTACATGCCCAGGTACTGTGCTAGGGAAAGTGAAAGAGATGTAAAAATAATTAACTGCATCAATGCAACAAATGCAAAGGGACCCATCCAAACAGGATATTTCATTTTTAAGAATAGAGTCAATTTCAGACATCAGATTTTCTAAAACTCATAGTGTCAGTTTTCATAGGCATGAAGATGAGAGATTCATCTTAGAACACCTGTTAGTTATGATAAACACGAGCTTGTTATGATAGATTCTGGGTTCAAACATCATCTATATATTTTTGAGATGAGAACTAAGTTCATATTATTTCCTTAACCATATTTCACAGAGGTCACAGGAAGTGAACAACAATATGAAGTATAATAAAGAATTCAAAAAAGTTTTGTTTTTTTTTTTAGTTCTTTTCTTTAACAACTTGGGAATTTTCTGGCTGTTACACTGAAGTTTCATGCGAGTACAAGAGCTGTAAGAATCCAAGCTTAGAATATAAGTAATAAGATGACTTTTTCTCTCAGGTTGAGTTTCTTCAAAAGCAAAGCTTAAGTCCAGGAACTTGTTGAGTTGTTTTTTTGAGACACAGACCTAAAGAGCACGAGTGAGGGAGCAAACGGAATGAGCTGGAGGAGGGGGAGGAGCCGACCCCAGGGCTGCCCAGGCTGCTCCTGTGGGCAGCTGGAACTCCCCTCCACCTGAACCTCCTGAGAAGCCTACAGAACACCTTTCAACTGTTCAAATCTCCCGTGGATGGGAAGCTAGAACATTCATCCTCCAGGTCCCTCGCCCAGTGGGTGGGTCTATGGTATCTCCATACCCTGGGTGGAAAGCAAAAAGACACGCAGTACGTGCTGAAGGTTGGACTTTGTCGGAACAAGATGAGTTGCACATACTTGTCTACCACCACTGCAACTAAAATCAGATGGCTGTGGATGACTGTGGCCCAAGGCACCAGAGGCATCTCCCACGTGTTTGTGGTTGGGAGATTAAAATCATGGGAAATTGGAGGATTCTTCTCTGGAGAAACTTAACGCCTAAGAAAAAAAATTGACAGATATTGACACTGTAGAGTTCTCAATATGGCAGAGGTTGCTGATTTCCTATATTAACACTATTGTCTCTTCCTTCACTGCAGTAAGACCACAATTTCTTTCAAGGTAGCAATGCACCCAGCTAACAGCCTACATTTTGTAGCTTCACTCACAGCTAGATATCATCATGCATTTAATTTCTTGCCAAAATGTTTAGCAGATTATGGTGTGAGCTTCTGGAAAGAAACTAGGAATTTACCTTCTCTGCCTTTCTCCTTTCTGCTGCCTGTAATGCAGATACAGTCTTCAGAGCTTGAGAAGCCTCCTGGGATATGAGGCATCACATTGAGAGTGGTGTAACAAGATAGATGTTGCCTATGTCCCCAGTGATGTGGAGCTTTCATACAAACCCTGCACTACCAAATCCACACTTCTCTTATATGAGGGAAAAGTTAATTTTTGTTTTATTAATCATGGGTTATTTTGGGTTTTTCTATTACATTCAACCAAATCTTCTTCCAACTAATACATCATGAAATGTCTGGGACCCATCCCACCTCAACACACCCAGAAGTCATCAGCTGACAAGTCCTGCCCATGCACACAGAGCTTCCAGTCAGCTTTCCTGTCTCTCATTCTTAAACAGACTGCACAGCACAAAAAGTCTCCAAACATTTAAAAATCAAAGCTCCTAAGGTAAAACACAGACACCAAAAAAGAAACCTTGAAGAAATAGAGACCACCCTGGGAACAAAAGAAAATGTTAAGCTTAAAAACACTTCACATTCTCAGACCATAAGGCATATTAAATGCAAAAAATACTAATAGAAAATGAAAGAAAAACACAGTAAATAAAAGGATACTCAGAGAACTACAAAGAGCTCTTGGAAATTAAAAAAAATTTAGCTTATATAAGAAACTCAGTTGGTGAGCTGGGGAATGAGTTGATGGAAAATAGTAAAGGATGTATTAGGAGCACAGAGATACAACCCAAGAGGCCTGACAGAGAAAGAGAAAGAGGGAAAAAATGGGTGGGAAGAAATTAGCAAAGAAATAATGTAAGAAAATTCCCTTGAATTGAAATTTTCCTGATGAAAGGACATGCTTTTCCACACAGCAATTTTAATGAAAAAAGACCCGTATCAAGAGACATCATTATGAAATTTCAGAATATCTGCATAAAGAGATTTCCAAAATTTTTCAGAAGAAAAAAGAAAAAGATCAAGAATATTACCAAAAGATGTCCCAAAAGCAACACTAGATTCTAGAAAGCAATGCAAGAGTACCTTCAAACTTCTAAGGGAGACCTGTTTCAGCATGAAATTCTGTCTCCAGATACAGTCTCCATCAAGTGTGAGGATGGAATAAAGTGTGTTCTTAGACATGAAAGGACTCAAAACATTCATTAACCTGCCCCGTTCTCAGATCCTTCATTCCCATCTCCCATGGAGTACACATATGCATGCTCCAGTCAGGACAGATTTCCTGCAGCTCATTTCTACCATGGTGCCTACTTCCTGTGGCCTCCCTCCACTCATTTGCCTTCTTCCTCTGGGCGATCCAAATCCTACCCATTTGTACAAACCCCACCTGCCCGAAGCCTCAAGGCCACACTCATCAGCAGTGATCTCTCTACATTTTGGCCCTTCTCAGTCTCTAGAATCTTCACTGTGCATGTTGCCCCTGGCCCCTGCTTTGTCTGGCATTAATCTCTGTATATGTCTGAAGTCTCCAACAAGATTGGGACAGTACCTTACTCACACTTGCATTTATACTGACAAGCAAACAGTAGGTACTCAACAAATATTTGATGTTTAACTAGTTAATACGGGCAATTTGATTCCTGATTCAGTTGTCTTTTCATGATACCACATGTCCCAAGATATTTTGAGGCTTCATTCAAAGAAAATCATTTCATAAGCTCTCAAGAATTTATGGATGAGAAAACCTCCAACTTCGCAAGAACAAAAGTAATTTGCCGGCTGACTTCCTATTATATCTAATTCAATAATAAACAATGACATGTGTTTACTAAAAATCTGCAGATCATGCTTGCAAAATCAAGTTAACCTAAGAAAAAAAAGCATATCATGACACATTTCATGGCAAGTGTCCCTTTCTGTTATTAACTAAACAATGAAACAAGCCAATTCATGCCACGTCTCACTATTATTTTCTAAATTCTGTGCAAACAGAACCAAGCTCCAGCTGAAGAAAGAAAGGGATGAAGAGTCTTCTGCTTCTATTTTTGCTCTTCACAACATTTTCTTCTGCATTTCCTGCAGACTGGGAGATGGAGAATGAAGAAAACATGCAACTGGCTCAGGTACTGTCTAAATAAATGTTATTAATGACTATCAATTAAAAGTGCATTTTATTGATTGTCTTGAGACCTAAAAAATTGCAATTCCTACAAAAGAGTCTTGAACTTGCTTGTGAGAAGTAGTTGCTTTTCCTTTCTTCAGCCCTGAGGACATCAAGTGACTGTGTGAGGGGTGAGAGTGGGGTTAGGGTGGGGAAAAAGGAGTATTTGTTGCGACTTTAAGCAATGGTTACAAGGGAAGAGATAGAGAAGAATGGGGCCAGCCCTGCAAGAAATGGAGATCTCAGTAAGAGCATTTCAAGACCAATCAGCAGGACCCTACTGTAATTCAGAGCCCCCTGTCCCTATATGTGTGAAAAATATATTGCTTTGGAAATTCCCTCTAAAACTCAGTCCGGTTAACTTGCCATAGTTGGTTAAATTGATTAAATTTGCAAAATGAATAATCACCTATCTCTTCTAGAATTTGTTTCAAGGAAACACCGAAATGAAAGTAACAGGAAAAATATGTAAGATACATGGTCATTAAATTCTAGAAGAAGCTTGATTTTCTTTTGTGGGGGTTTGGAATTTTATGGACCGTGTGATTTCAGCAATTCTGGTCACATATAGTTCACCCAGCTCTTGAAAGCTGAAAAACCAGGGTGATCCTTTTCTTTCCTCTTTGCTTCCTTCTCTTTTTCTTCTTTCCCTCACTCTTTCCTTTCCCTCGCTATTCCCTTTTCACCCAACTATGTCCAGCAATTTTGTTTCATCCTGTGATGGAGATTTGCTCTCCTGTAGTCTGTGCCTTTTTTTGTCTTTTCGGTCAGGCATATCTCAACCAGTTCTACTCTCTTGAAGCAGAAGGCAGTCATCTTGTTCAAAGCAAGAACAGGAGTCTTACAGATGGCAAACTTCAGGAAATGCAAGCATTTTTTGGATTGACAGTGACTGGAAAACTGGACGCAAACACTCTTGAGATCATGAAGGCACCCAGATGTGGGGTGCCTGATGTGAGTCAGTATGGCTACACTCTCCCAGGATGGAGAAAGCGCAACCTCACATACAGGTAACGCTTCTGCCAGCATATTCCCCCCTAATCCAAAGGAACATAATGTAATCTCTAAGGAACAATAATAATAATAGTTTATTTTAGCAAGCATTTCCTTTGTGAGTGGCCCTTCATAGATTTCATTTATTCCATCTTCCCAACAAACCTGTGATGGAGGCACCGATGGTCTTGCAACCTTAAACACAGAAAAATTAAAACAAAGGCTTATTTGCCATAGTCAAAATCACACAGCTCTCAGACTGGCTCTAATGTCTAGCCTCTGCCACCTCCGTATAAACTCAGGACCAGAAGCATTGCCATCTGACCACAGACCCTGGAGCACAGCCAGTTCATGGGAGGGACATATGTGCATTACATGTTGTCAAATCTCAGATGCACCCTGGAGTGAAGTATGGAGTTTGCCCCCAGACATCTGAAGGAAAGGGTGCTGGCTCATTGGCAGAAAAGGGATGAAGTGTGCTCCTGACCTATGATAAAGGTCATGACCTTGACCATCACTCTAGAGACCTCCTCGTGACCCTAAAGACTACCTATGACACTTTCTCCTTCATCTTAGTGAGTCCTAGAGATTGAGATAGAAATAGATTTAGCAAGAAAGGGAATATAAACAAGAAGAAAATCTTTTCCTGAGTAACCAACTCTTTGTGGCTCTCAAGTGAGATTCTTAATATATGACACATGCATAAGCCTGATTTCCACAAGTCATTTGAGAAAATAAATCTCAAGTCTTTTTAGAATATATTTATACTACATATACATAGCAAACACATACTTGAGATTAATGCTGTCCCACTCAGGGCGTGATCTCAGGGAAGTCATACAACCTCTTTGAGCCTCATTTTAAAAAGTGTTATAATACTATAACCTACGATTGATGAAAAAGAAAAATGATTTTCTTTTTTGCAGTATGTGTGTGGGCATATATGCATACAACCACTGACCACTATATTTTTGTTAATTTTTAAGAATCATGAATTACACTCCAGATATGGCACGAGCTGATGTGGATGAGGCCATCCAGAAAGGTCTAGAAGTGTGGAGCAAAGTCACCCCACTGGTCTTCACAAAGATTTCCAGGGGGATCGCAGACATTATGGTTGCCTTTAGGACCCGAGGTAAGGTTTTCACCAGAGAGGAAAGTATGGCTTTCCTCTCAGGAGATTTGCAGAAGCTGATCTTTTTCCCCTACATGATTGGTTTCTCAGTCCACGGTCGGTGTCCTCGTTATTTTGACGGCCCTTTGGGAGTCCTCGGCCATGCCTTTCCTCCTGGTCTGGGTCTGGGTGGAGACGCTCACTTCGACGAGGATGAAAATTGGACCAAGGATGGAGGAGGTGAGTAGATTGTTAGAAAGTCCAGAGTTCTAGGCCACAATTTGGCAAAACTTTCTTGAGCAAGGTAAGGGATAAATACTGCCCACCACCAGGTGTGATTGGGTGACCAGGTAACAGTAGCAGAGCAGGTTGTCTTCCAATGACTATATTATATTCCCTAAGGCTTGAAATCATGGGCTCTGGAGGACACCCTATCTTATAACTCTTGGGTCACTGACAAGAAAGGGAAAATGTCTTCCTGTTTTCCAAAAAAAACATAAAACCACAGGCAAAGTAATCTTCAATCAAATTGGAATTTTATTAGGAAATTTGGCAATACTATATAATAGGTGATTACCTCCTTTATCGAAATATGTAAACTCTCTCTGTAGAAAGGGCACAAAAGTCACTGCATGGAAATGTCAGAGGGGTTTGGGTACATAGAGATTTTCCCTAGAGTCTCCCAGAGGGAAGCCAATGTCAGGCCTACGGGAATGTGTATGCATAACAAACACCTGCACAGGCGTCACAGGCTGCTACAAATATACAGTGCGGTGATGAGCAAAAGCACCCATCTACAGACACTTGCAGACACTGGGGCCTTTAAGGGCTTCCTGTTTGCTACCTGAGGGGTCCTGAGTAAGTTCAATAACTTTCTTACCATTTCCTTATCAATAAAATAAGGATGGTAATGTCCTTCTTGCAGGCAGATGGCACAATTTACCTGTAATAAAGGTGAAAACACCTTGCAAAGCACTTGCCCATAGTGACCATTCAGACAGTGTTTGACATTGATGAGTGTGTTGGTGATGTTAGTATTGATGAGGAGGAGGATTAGAGGGATTTCAAAGCACAGGAAAAAGTATTCACAAAGGTACAGATGCATAATTCACAAATTTATCTATTTAGTCACATCTCCAAGAACGAGGAGATGTGACCTTTTTCCTACAGTATCATATGGCCTGTAATATTGTCAACACATGAAAGATGCTCTACAAATATTTGGTAAATGAAGTCATTCAACAATTCTTTTTTTTATTTTATTTTGCTATCATTAATATACAATCACATGAGCAACATTGTGGTTACTCGATTCCCCCCATCATCAAGTCCCCACCACATACTCCATTACAGTCACTGTCCATCAGCATAGTAAGATGCTATAGAATCACTACTTGTCTTCTCTGTGTTGTATAGCCTTCCCCATGCCCCCCCACTACATTATGTGTGCTAATCATAATGCCCCTTTTTCCCCCCTTATCCCTCCCTTCCCACCCATCCTCCCCAGTCCCTTTCCCTTTGGTAACTTTTAGTCCATTCTTGGGTTCTGTGAGTTTGCTGCTGTTTTGTTCCTTCAGTGTTTGCTTTGTTCTTATGCTCTACAGATGGGTGAAATCATTTGATACTTGTCTTTCTCCACCTGGCTTATTTCACTGAGCATATACCCTCTAGCTCCATCCATGTTGTTGCAAATAGTAGGATTTGTTTTCTTTTTATGGCTGAATAATATTCTATTGTGTATATGTACCACATCTTCTTTATCCATTCATCTACTGATGGACACTTACATTGCTTCCATTTCTTGGCTATTGTAAATACTGCTGTGATAAACATAGGGGTACATATGTCTTTTTGAAACTGGGACCCTACATTCTTAGGGTAAATGCCTAGGAGTGAAATTCCTGAGTCAAATGTTATCACTACTTTAAGTTTTTTGAGGTACCTCCATACTGCTTTCCACAATGGTTGAAATATTTTACATTCCTGCCAGCAGTGTAGGAGCATTCCCCTTTCTCTGCATCCTCACCAGCATTTGTTGCTCCTAGTCTTATCTATGTTGACCATCCTAAGATTCAACAATTCTTACTCAACATCCACTATGACCCAGACTCTGTGATACAAATGGAGTATACAAGTGTACAAGACACAGATCCTGCTCTCTAAGGGCTTTGCAATCTAGGAGGCACACTTTACCAATTAAAATAAGTATGATCAACACTAGGATAAAGGGAACTATGTCAGTGTAACAGAAGCACATGAAAGAAATCCCCACCCAAATATAGAAGTCAGGGATAGAAAAGATGCCAAACCTGAGACACAAAGTCAAGAAGGAATGTAGAAGGCAAAGTGGAGCAAAGAGAGTTCTGGACAGGACAACCCAACCAGCTTAAGAATTAGAACTGTGGTGGAAGAAAGGTTAAAAGGTGAACAGGATTCAGGTTGTAGAGAGTCTAGAAAGTGTAGGATAAGCTTGGATAAATGCTTAGACTTGATTTAGATTACCTGAATTTGAATTGTGTTTTCAAAGAGTCACTTGTCCCATCCCTTATCTGAAAGCACCCTCAGTGATTGACACTCAGACAAGGGGCAGCAATAAAAGGCCAGAGCAGAAAAGCATGGAAGACACTGAAACAATCCTTTGCCATTCCATGTTTTGTGCAAACATGACTGGACAAGGCTCCATTATGAAAGGTTCTGCCTTTTCTTCATGATCCATAGGCTTAGTCGGAAGTCCAAGGAGAGACAGTCTTTAATATGTAGAACCTTACAGACTAGCGGAAGAGACAGAGAAATAAAAAGGGAATTCCTCTATACCAGGTAAGACTTCTGGTATTGGGAAGTACAGGGAGGCATCCTGAACCAGTCTTTCATCAAATAAACACCTGGATATCCAGTGACCATTATTAACCACCCACTACTGATAAGCAGTTGAGTAGTCACCAGGAATAAAAGAAGACATGGTCAAAATTTGGTGAAAGAAATGGTTCAGTCCCTTATGTGCTATGACAGAATAAAGCCCTGAGTCTGTGGAAGCCCACAGGGGTGCATGTAACTCAGCCGGGCAAGGGAAGCTCATGCTGATGACTCTAGAGGGGGTGCCTGAGGAACAAGGAGGATAGCTGGACACGAAGGGGGTGGAAAAGGTAATGTTCTGGGCAGAAGGGACGGATATATTAAGACATAGATTAGAAAGAACTTGGCATAGATGAGAAATGCAAATGATTCAGTGTGGCTAGCTCATGGAATAGGAAAATAAGATATGAGGTTGGAGAAAAGGCAGGGACTTGATCCTAGACAGCCACATTAGAGGCATGTGGACTCTATCCCACAGCCTGTGGAGAACCTCTGAAGAATCTAAGTACAAGAAGCATGATCACATATAGTCCAGCCTAGAAACAACCAAAAACTGGCAACTTTGAGGGTTTTTTAATACTATCCATTCCTGAGAGAGCTGTTTCCTGCCCTTGCTTACTCCGGGTTACATTTCTCCATTATGTGGCTAATACCAATTATTAGTATTGAAATATTTCCCAGATAAATGATGGGTGTATATAAGAATTACCTGCTGTGTGGTGAGCGTTTTCTTCTTTCCCCTTAGTTACTTCCTAATCTCAGATGCAACCATTCTCCTTTTTACTGACTCATGTGCTCATATTTTCTCTATTTTTGTTAAGGATTCAACCTATTTCTTGTGGCTGCTCATGAATTTGGTCATTCACTGGGGCTCTCTCACTCCAGTGATCAAACAGCTTTGATGTTCCCAAATTATATCTCCCTGGATCCTAGCAAATACCCACTTTCTCAGGATGATATCAGTGGAATCCAATCCATCTATGGTGAGCAATGTCATAAATCTGAATATGTGTGAACTAAATAGGAAGCTTTCCAGGAAGGAAGTTGAAAAAAAAATCACTTCTTGAAATATTATCATGAAGAAAATACTCACTTGGGTAAGATCCTTCTGCAGGTATTTCCACATGCCTTCTTAATTTGCTGCGGTATTTCTTTTCATCAAAGGAAGTCTACCCGAGGTACCTGCTAAGCCAAAGGAACCCACTGTGCCCCATGCCTGTGACCCTGATTTAAGTTTTGATGCTATCACCACTTTCCGCAGAGAAGTAATGTTCTTTAAAGGCAGGTAAACCTATTCCCTTAAACACCTCAACTTCTGATGAAGATTTTTCTTTTCAGGAGACTTGGAGATAAAGAGGAAGTCACGGGTCTAGTGAGAATGTGTACCTTATACTTTTCATTTTATAAAACTGTCCATAGTGTTTGAACATTTTACTATAGGCATATATCTCTTACTGGTTTGATAAATTAATTTTTAAATGGCTGTAAGCAAATTTTTTAATTACCAATATACAAGAAGGTGATGAAGAGTCACTTTCAGTGACTTCTAGCTAAAATAATATACCAATCCCAGTGGTGTGTTGGAACTGGCTAATACCATTTCAGGACCAATTGTTAAGCTTTCAGGAATTTTTCTTATTCACATTACTTTGGTAGCTTGAAATTGTCCATAGTTGGAGTCTTTACAACCTGGAAATCAGCACATGATAAAAATTAGGTTTTATTCCTACCTGGAGAACCAATTGTTAAAGACCTATGAGCAGACCATTCCACAACACTGCATCGGTAAAATGTAGTAGGAAATCTGTTCTCTATGTATAATTTATTGGACTGAAATCGCAGCATGGTGTGTCAGTTATGTATGCCATGACCGCATTTTCAGAACAAATTATCAGACTGTACACCATCTGACAAGGCATAGAGGCAAAAGGAGAGAATACTTGAAATCAGACTTTTCCACATCTGTGTAGCACTGTGATGACCTGCTATCCCCGTGCTCCTAACAGAACAGGCCAAGACACCACTTGTCGGGGCTATCAGAGCAGGGTTAACAGCAGGGAGGGCAAATGGAATACAAGGAATTTTCAAGACTCATTAACAGACTTAGATTTTACAGCCAGAAGGGAAAATCAGAGGAAATGCTTTGGCATGCCATTGATAAAATTTCATCATTCTAGCAAACAACAGTGCCAAAAAGTTCTTAGAATGCTGGGGGTTGCCTTACAATGTTGGGTATATCTGCTTTGGCAAAAGTGAGGCCATCGAGCACTCAGAATCCATGGGTAGTTTGCTACTCGAGATGCCCAAGAGAGTGGGCCCAAGGCACGGCCTGAGCTTGGTGGTCCAAAGGGTAGACATGAACTCACAAGCATCCACACTTGCTGAGCAACATTGTGTTACTGATCCAAATTATTTAAGAAAAATATCAACCACCTACATAAAAAAAAAGCAAGTCTAAGATTGCAATGTTTTCATTGAAATAGATACATAGGCTGTATGTGTAAAATGTTTTTGTTTAACACAGGCACCTATGGAGGATCTATTATGATATCACTGATGTTGAATTTGAGTTAATCTCTTCATTCTGGCCATCTCTGCCAGCTGATATTCAAGCTGCATATGAGAACCCCAAAGATAAGATTCTGGTTTTTAAAGGTAACTGTCCATCATGATTTCTCTTCTCCCTTTAGATGCCTGAACTGGTCAGTAGGTATTTTGGCACAAGGAATATAATACTCATGGATGAACAAAATGGACAGGGCTTCTGCCCTGACCTTAGGTTCCTATCACAAAGAATAACTATCAAGGGATTCTCTGTGATTGTGAAGATAAACATCATCCTGATTGCTCAGGAGCTAGAAGAAACCTGCATGATAAAAACTAAAAAGCAGTCTTTTCTCTGCGAAATTAAAGTAACCCATCTCTCTTTTCTACTTCCTTTTTATTGGGGTTGCCAGATTTGGCATTTAAGAATATAGGACATTTCGAATTTCAGATAAACAACAAAATAACTTTTAGGTATATAATTATGTCCATTGCAGTATTGTAAATATACCAAAAATTTGTCATTATTTATTTGAAATTCAAATACTGATATCTTATGTTTAATTTAGCAATCCTACTTTGTATATGGATTTCATCAGACTTCTTACCTTTGAGAATGCTTGGGGACTGAAATTTAGGAAAACATGTTTGAACATAATTGACTATTTTGTCAGAAAAGCAATCAGTACAGTGAAACTAATTGACATGATCATGCACTGTCAACTATAGGTATGTTATTTGTGTAATACTAATGATATGAGAAGCTACAGAAATGGTACGAATAAATGGAGACATAAGATTACTAAATATCTAAGCCTTGAACCTCAGAACAACAAGGTATCTAATTATTTTCAAACTTTTAAAGAAATCTATTTCTCCCTCTAGGAAATAGGTCAGAAGATAAACACTTTCTCTCTTCATAGATGACAACTTCTGGATGATCAGAGGATATGCTGTCTTGCCAGATTATCCCAAATCCATCCATACACTTGGCTTTCCAAGATATGTGAAGAAAATTGATGCAGCTGTCTGTGACCACAACACAAGAGAAACCTACTTCTTTGTGGGCATTTGGTGCTGGAGGTGAGTCTACAAACAATTGACCCCTTCACTTTATTCTAGAGAAAATTACATATGTAAGCATCCCTTTAACACAGGCAAAAATAAAACTAACCTATAGTCTTCTTAAAGTGATTATATTGAAGACAATCTCAAGTGGATGACATCCACCAAACAAAAGAATGTTTCAACAAGTCCAGTAATCTTCCTCCAACTTAAAAAAATAAAGATAAAATAATAAAGATGGAGATGCCAACCAATTTGCCGATGACACAAATATACCCAGTCAAATCAGTGAAAGGTCCAAGCTAAGCTCCTACTTTAACAGCTCCTCAGAATAGCATTGATCTGACAAACAATGTGGCTTTCCCCCCCTCATTATTTCTTGTTTTCAAGACACTGTAAATGATCCAGCCAAATAAAATCTCTGACATGTTTTTCATTATTGAACCAATTCGTTTTCCTCTACTAGGCCTACTTTTTCTCTTGCTTGATTCCAAGTTGAGCAGTAGAAAAATTAAGCTGCCTGGATCAAAGATCCCCTGGAAACCTTTCAAACCCTGTACCCAGGTATAATGAGGCGAGCCAAACCATGGACAGAGGGTACCCACAGCGGGTGGTAAAACGCTTCCCAGGAATTGGAATCCGAGTTGATGCTGCCTTCCAGCATAAAGGTAAGTGCCAATGCCTCAATTCTTAGGGTGCTTGGAAGAGTTTATTGGTTATGAAAGAAAACATCACACAAAACTTAAACGTTTCCATTTTAATGTAGTTTGACTATTCCTGAGCACATGTAGTAAGAAACTTTAACCCTGCGGGTATTATCACAAAATGAATTAGTAAATCCTGAATTACATTCTCTGTTATATTATTTCAAATCTAAGCAAAAAATAGCAGAATTAGTTTTACTTATCATTGATCCAAGATACCTGCTAAAAGACACCTTCTGCATAGTGTTTAGTGTGAGACATTGACTAAGCATGTGAACTGAACATTGATTCTCAAACTATGTTGTACATAGTTTATTGTGCACAATTTGGGGTCATGTGAAAGTTCAAGTTCTTCAGAGTTTCTGAGGCAGTAGGACCATGAGTGAGACCCCAGAATCTAGTTTTAAAAGAACCTCTGGACATTTAATGTACCAGTCCAGCTACTTATCTTCAAGGATAGCAACCTAGACCATGGAGTAAGGAGGACTCTAAAAAGGTTTTTGAGGGACACAATCCTTTATTCCAAATGAAATCTGATACAAAGCCTCAAAACCTGAAATAAATAAAGCAGAACAACTCTAGGAAAATGAGGATGTAGAGGCCAAGGCCATACACACAAGGGCTTTCTTCTCCCCATCACCGAGATACTTTTTAGAAACCTCATTTGAGAACCTCTGACATAAACCAGAATGGCTAGAAAGGTAGTGACCCCTTTGAAATTCATGGTTCACACCCTGGTTTCTTCCTCAGAGAAATAAAAATAATCATGTTTATCATGTGACAGTACTAACATAAAATATAACGTACATAATTACATGTTTCTTCTTCTCTATATAATGTCCTAGTATCTTATTCTGTATTCATAAAACGTTAAAGTGTGGACCATTATATCATTGTGCAAGATAACTAATCATTATTCTCTCCCTCCAGGATTCTTCTATTTCTTCCGTAGATCAAAACAATTTGAATATGACCCTAAGGCAAAGAATATTACCCGAATGATGAAATCCAATACTTGGCTCCAATGTAAAGAACCATTAAACTCATCACCTGATTTCAGTGTCAGTGAGGGACAAGTACACTCAGAAGGAGTGAAGATGGTTTACCCCAAGACTTTAAACTTGCTTATTTTCAGTATAGTTCATGTACTGAAAAAAATCTACATTTATCAATAAATTCATAGAACTAAAATAAACCTCAAGAGGTCATTTAATCTGAACTGTGCATCAAAGTAGAAAAGAACTATAGCTGACTCTTGAATGCTGCAGGGGTTAAGAGCTCCAACCCCCTGTGCAGTTGAAAATCCACATACAGTTTTTGACTCCCCAAAAATTTTACCAATATCCTACTGTTGACTGGAGGCTTTACAAATAACATAAATAGTCCATTAACATATATTTTGTATGTTGTATGTATTATATACTCTAGTCTTTCAATAAAGTAAGCTAGAGAAATTGTCACAAATCTCCAAAAAAATTTTCCAATATATTTATTGAAAAAAAAAGTCTTTGTATATAATGAGTTAAAAAAAATACATATCTGGTCATTCATATGACCAAATACGGATTTCCCAGGTATATTTGGTCTTCATCCACAGTTCCTGAAAACACTGCAGTCTTAACGGAGCAACAGGTGTTTTGTCATGTTAATGAGAGATTTTTGGACCCTCCACCCAAGGGAAGGGGCTAAAGACTGAATTAGCCAATGTTCAATAATTTAGTTAATCATGACTATGCAATGAAGCCCTTAGAAAACCCATGAGAACAGCTGGCTCCCTCTGCTCTGCTCTGCTCTGCTCAGTTGGATCCTGCTCCTTGGTCAGAGAGGGTGTCTGTGCTTGGGGGACCAGAACACCTCCACATGCCACGGAGCCAGGCCCCAAGCTCCGCAAGGATAGAATATCCTTTATTTGGGACCTTGCCCTGTGTCTCTCTTCTTCTGGCTGTTAACTTGTATCCTCCACGGTACCCTTTATTAAACTAGTAAACTTGAGTGTTTTCCTGAGTTCTGTGTGCCATTCTATCAAATTAAATGAACCTAAGGGGAGGTTGTGGGAACCTCCTATCTGTAACTGGTAGGTCAGAGGCACAGGGAACTGCCTGGGGCTTGCGACCTGCATCTGGAGTAGGGGGTGGAGGGAAGTCTTGTGTGACGGAGCCCTTAACCTGGGGAATCTGGTGCTGTCTCTGGGCAGACAGATTCAGAATTGAGTTGAGTTCTCAGACACCAGGGTGTCTGAGAGTTGCTTGGTGTTATGTGTGGGAAGACCCCCTCCCACATATTTACATGCATTGGAATAGGGTCCAGGAACCCAAGTGGAGTTATACTACTATTACTGCTGTGTATAATATTCTGTTGTTTTATATATATTATATGTAGGGAAAAGAGACACCATTGCTTTTGGTGTTGGGCAGATAGGAATAGCAGTATAAGTGGACCCACGCAATTCTAACCCATGTTGTTTAAGGGTCAACTGGATTCTTTAACATCAAGTTGCTAGTCCTATTTCTAAATAACTATTGGATAAAGATTCAACAGCTGTTTGGAGCTGCCTGATTCTTTTTACAGGAAGTTATTATGTATAAACAAAACTCTCACTGTTCTTCAAGGTTATTTTATGTTTTGTGGACTTGAAGAAGTATGCCATGTATCTTAATTGCTAGATACTGAAGACATTTATTAAAGCAATCTACTGTAGCAGTCCATTTTGTCTGGACCTTTGGAGTCAGAGAGGCTTAGCAAACTTCATCCATCACCCTTACCCATGTTCTGAACCTACTGAGAAATAATATATTGTTGAGAGAGCAAAATGCCACCTTTATTACTGATAAAGTTTATATTGGATAATATATCTGTGGGAAAGCAAGTTTCCTAATGTCAAATTTTAGAATGAGATATACTTAACCAAAATCATGGGAAGAACTGGAAAGTACCAGGCCTTCCCAAGAATATGAGCTCCTATAGGTTGTGTGGAGCCCAAAGAGAAAGAAATGAGGATGGACTGCGTGTGCCCAGTTTCTGCTCCCAAATCCACCAATCAGATGGAATTGAAAGTTATTCCACTTCCCGAAGAGAGGAGTGAGAGCCCAGAGAGACACAGAAAGTGTTACACTAGAGGTGATCCCCCAATTAAGAAACTAGCAGGTATAGGAAAATAGTGTTCCCTCCAACCCCCTCTATGCATAGACCAATGTAACCATTCCTTAGAGGGTTTAAAAAATCAAGTTTTGTACACACTGTTCTCATATACAAGAAATGTAGAGGTTTCCCCCCCCGGGTTTGAGATATATGGATCACCTGAGCCTAAACATATAGGTAGAAAGTCCCAGTCTTCTTTGTTACACCATATATTTGTTAAGTTTCTAAGTTCTTAGGGCTAATTGTTACCTTTACCCTCTCAAAGCCAGATGCTTAGCAAAGCTCTTCATAAGTTTTCTGACCCAATAAAATATAATTGTTTCAGAGAGGAATACAAAATCTTACTTATTCAGTTCTCTGTGCTACACAAAACAACACTGACAAAGAAAACCTTAAAAAGCTGACGAGCCTCAAAATAAATCCTACCAGGCTTTGGAATTGGTATTATAGGACAGTCTGAACAACTGGTCATGTACAGCACATAGAGTCAGTATTTGAGGCACAGTTAAGTGTTTGATCACTATGAGTCATCACAATGATTAGGTAAGTTACACAATTTATCCAAAAGTTATGCAATTGTTCCAGTCTGCTGCGCCCTTTCTGGCTTTCTCAAGGGTCTGTGATCAGGTCTTGAAAGAAAGAAACACCTTTAAAAAAGAATATGAACAAGACTATGTTGACAATAGTTATTCAAATAGTTATTTGGAGATTTGAGTCACTGAGATGGAACAGAAATGAATTCACTCCAAGAGAATGTATTTGAATTTCTTCTTGCCTGGGGGCAAATTCATCACAACCTTTCATGAGTGGACTCTGTGCTTCATGAGTGGACTCTGCTAAGACGCTCCCTGAATGAATCATTTGTCCTGGTGGAAAACTGGGTGATTTTTTTGGTTTTGAAGTATTTTAAATATATGGCATATCTTTAGGCTGAAATTCAGTCCCTTGTGTGTCTTCAGGTATAGATAATCTAAAAGAAAGATCAGTATCTCAAAATATCTTTGACATATAGTAGTCCCCCTTTCTCCAAAGTTTCACTGTCTATGGTTTCAGTCACCCATGGTTAGTTAAGGTCTGGAAGCAGGTGATCTCCTTCTGGCCACGCACCAGGGATAGAAAGTAATCTAACACTACTTCACAATGCCTGCTTTGTGCACATCACTTTAACTCATCACGTAGGCATTTTCTTATATCATCATAAGAAGGGTGAGCACAGTACAGTAAGATACTTTGAGAGACCACATAACATAACATTTATCACAGTGTAACTATTCTATTTTATTACTAGTTGTTGTTAGTCTTTTACTGTGACTAATTTATAAATTAAACTTTATCAGAAAAGAATGTATAGGAAATCACATAGTATATACAGAGTTTAGCACTATTGATGGTTTCAGGCATCCCCTGAAGGCCTTGGAATGTATCACTATCAGAAGGGGGAGGAAGTCTACTACACTTAAATTAATCACAAAATCATAAATTTCAAGTCTACATCCACTCACTACACAGATACCACTATCTATCTGAAGTTTCCACAAGGAAATATAAATCCAGCTATTCCTGATATGAATCACTTAGAATTTTATCTCTAGAGAAATCAAGAAAATATGAACAGAACAGTCCACAATGAATGTAAAACTTCCTTAAACTGGAACGTTTCCAGAACAAGGAAATCTTTCTGTCTGACAATTACTTATAGTTGAATGCAGAATTCATTGTTGAATGCACCACAAAGCCAAATTTGGTTTTAATCTTGAGACTTAATAAATTAATTATTTTTGCCCATTCTTTTCCTGCATTATAATGTTCAGTTTTATTAGTAACAAAAGAGTGCAAGAATTTATTTTCAAAGTTGTTTTATTTTTTCAACAAACTGAATTCAGAATTTCAGGTTTCCTGAACTGTTTTTAAAATTTAGAAGCAAAAGGAATTAAGTAGGGAGCATTTCAACTGGACAAGTTCATGAAGATGAAATGGAAATTATAAGAGTCTAAAAGCCCTCAAGAAATAAACCAGGGATCCAAAGAAATCACATATGCAAATGTACCATAAATTATAAAGTTCTTCAAATGAATTTGCTCTTCTCAGGAATTTTGTGTTAGAAAATCTGTTGAGATAAATTTCAACTAAGATGGCACATCGTTATTTTCCATCTAATACTTACCTTGGTATTATAATGGTTAATCCATCTCATTTATTCCATGTCTGCTCTTTGTCAGATGCACTGTCTGTTGAGTAGCCTTTCAGTCAACAAATATTTATTGAGTGCCTACTATATGCCAGGTACTGTTTTAGGAGCCAGGGATATAGTAGTGAGCAAAGCAGCAAAGCCCCTGCCTTCATGCTCTATAATCTAGTCAAGGTAAAGAAACAGCAAATAAATATGTCAAGGATGACCAAAGCTCTGAGGAAAAATAGAGCTGGTTGTGCCCGTGCTAGGCCAGCTTGCTTTCAGGTGTGCTCCTCGGCGGGAACAGGATGGAGGGTGCTGCCCCCTGCAGGCTAGGCATGACCTCATGTTAGCCCACATCTCGGTGAGCTGGTCCCGTGAGAGGCCCTGGGGGAGATGAGGCGGGCAGGAGGGAGAAGCTAGGATGTGTCTCCCTCTCCCTCCTGTGGCAGCATCTTTGGTGATGGCTGTGTCTTCAGGGCTCCAGCTGCTGTGAAGCCCACTGTGGCTCCTGCTTCAGACAGGCCACATGGGCACCTTCTTCCCACCTTCCGGTGGGAAGGGGACTCGAGGTTTCCTACTGATTCTAACTACCGGGTTGCTTCATTGTCCCCGCTGGCTCCTCAGTCCTTTTCAATCACTCATAGAACTTATTTCCTGCAGTAAATATCCCGTTTCAAACACTCAAGAGTGATTCTGTTTTCCAGTACATGCTTGATTAATATTTTGAGTAAGAGAGAGAAGAAATGGGGTCTTTGGGGATGAATTACCCGGAGCTCCTAGTGAAGTTCTGAGAGATAGAAGGAAGTGAGCAAGCAAACCATATCTGGAGAGAGTGTTCCAGGAGGAGGAGTTCAGTGCAAAGGCCCTAGGAGTAGCGGAGCAGCTGCAAAGAGGCTCCTGTGACATGGAGACGGGGTTGGGGAGAGTTGAAGTTGGGGGAGCCACCAGGAGACTGATCATGTAAGGCCGTACACACCACTGTATAGATGTTAGATTCTAGAGAGATTTAAGAAGAGAAACCACTTATTTGACTTGGATTTAAAGAATCACTCTGGCTGCTCTGAGAACACTAAACAATAGGCACAAAAGAGCAGGAACAGGGGGTATATCAGGAGGCTACTGCAGTTAGATGATCCTGGGAGCAATGAGAAATAGTCTGAGGGCA